CCCCCCCCTCCGCCTGCGCTGAGGGCGATGGGCGGGGGGGGGGCGCTCCACAAGATGGTATTGAAGAATGATAAACTTCATGTACATTTTAGAGCATACTTCTCTAGCTCAGATATGAAAATAAATTATATACATCATTCTTTGAGTAAAAGAGGACTCTGCTTTTATTATTGGAGGGGGAGGGGTTACGAAAAACTAAAAGTTCGTTTGCAAAGTCATCTTTTGAAGCCAGAGGCTTCTTTTGAAACACTTCCTGCGGTTGCACAGAACCTTAATGAACAGCGTTACTGATGCTTCACAAGTCATTTATTCTAAAGGTTGCCTTTCCATGTGACAGTCATTCTTTAGAAATCTTCAGTGTAGCCTGAGATGTCTGTTGGATGATTTTAAAGCCCTGCCTGGAGGAGTAGTTGACTTTGCCTTATTATTTATGTAAAATATGATGGCATTTGGTGATTACATTGCTAGTGGATCTCACCACAGGTAAGCGCCTATGAATACCTGGATTTTAAGGACAAGGTTGTGTTTTTAGATTTAAGGAAAAATAAGTCTATTAATAGATGTGAGAAAACAAGAATGAAGAAGAGTTTTCTTCCTGGGTATCACCTCTATCTTTTCGTCCTTCTGGAACAGACCTACTGCCAGGAAGGGGGCATATCCAACTCTTAGAAGGTTCTGGTATGCATCTTCCCTAATGGGCTGTCCTTACATCTTTGCCTAAATCCAAAGCTTGAGCAATAAGGAGGAAGGAAAGCAGAATTTTAAGAAGTCCAAAAGGTATTCCTGAATGTTAGATACTGTTATTTCAATAGGTGCTATTGTACTATTCACAAATGCATGCCAGCAATTAACACAAAATAGGGGAATGGGGGGGTGTAACTAAAAATTCTTAAGCTCACCTTATAAATAAGATTTTTGGAGACAAAATCTTAATAATAAAAAAATTGTGAGACAACATAACTTAGTTTCAGCCCGAGGGTTGGGGTGCTATATTATTAACTATGTTTGATTTGAGTATTTGAGCTACTAGTGAATCCAAGCTCATACCATTTGAATTTAGTAGTGATGTAATGAGGAGAAGCTGAAGGCCACGCCCCAAATTCCCCCACAGCTGAACATACTTGCCTTATGTAGTAACAGTTGAATCATATTTAATTCTCAAAGAATAGAAATATTCCTTGATTGCAAAACAGTAGGTGGAGCAGGCTGCTTGATATGACTCACTTAATGTGTGGTATTATTCCTAGTTAGGTGTATTTTATGGATTGTTTGTTTGAGTGTTTTAATGGTTTGTTTAGAGTTTTTAGAGGTGGGCAAGGTGGTAAAGACATTATGTGAACAGTCTCTCTCCTTGAAAGCTTTGGCAATTGTGATAGGCAAGGATTACCATATGTTTTCTATAAATACAGGCAAGCAGATTTAGCTAAACTCTTCAAATTAAAAACTGTAGTGACTCGGGAACCAGCAGTTAGCGTAATGGCTATGTTGCTGGACTCCCATGTAGTCGACCGTGGTTTGCGTCCTGGACCCGGTGGCTTAAAACTCACGACAGGCACGTGTGCGTGCGTGCCCAAGATCCCAAGAGGAGAAGAGATTGCGGCGTGACCATCCCCTCTGGGGGGTGATTTCTCGCTTTCTGTCTCTCTCTGTCTGTCTGGCGAGCGCACGCGCCCTATAGCAAAAACCTCTCCAAAAAAAAAAAAAAAACAAAACTGTAGTGACTCTCCAGTGCAGGCTTGTATGAATCGTTTGTTGTTATGACATTGAAGGAGTCTGGATTTTAAAAGAGAGATACAGTGTAATGCATTTTTATGTAAAACCAATGTTGTCTTTTCATCCATACATGCCTTGAAGATACTGCTTTAAATGTAACTAGAATATACTAAATTACCAAAGTCTTCAATAAGATTTTAAAGAGAGGGGAACCAGCAGTTAGCGTAATGACTATGTCGCTGGACTCCCACGTAGTCGACCGCGGTTCGTGTCCCGGACCCAGTGGCTTAAAAACTCACGCCGGGCGCGTGTGCGTGCGTGCCCAAGATCCCGAGAGGAGAATGGAGGAGAAGGGATTGCGGCGTGACCATCCCCCCTGGGGGGTGATTTCTCGCTTTCTGTCTCTATGTTTCTCTCTGTCTGTCTGGCGAGCGCACACACCCTACAGTGAAAATCTCTCAAAAAAAAAAAAAAAAGAAAAGATTTTAAAGAGAGCATAAGCACACTAAATTAAGATGTAGCCAGAAAGGTCTGTAGTCTCCCTTTTAATGTGTAGTATTAAGTAGTATTTGGTTTCCTACTTATTTTAAGCTTATTGCTTAATACCAACTATAGTGTTTTTTTAGGCCGATTGAATCGCTGGTTTAGCTTAGATGTTAAAAAATAGTTCATCCATTTAGATCTAATACATGCTAGTCTTCTCGTTCTGAGGTGATTTGCCTTTTCAGATCAACATCTCATTATAAAAGAATCTAAATGAGTAGCACTCCAAAAGATGAGTGGGGACAATCTGTTTCAAAGTTCATGTAAAGAATATTTACTCAACATAAAATGCAGGCTCCGAAGATTTTATAAATGATATAAACTATACTTAAGTTCATTTCTCATTGATTATGATTCCCATCCTAAAGTACAATGTTGACCTTGATTTCTTGTTGCATCTTGTGTTGTGCGGGTTGTTATACCTAGTATCTCCTCCTATCTTCTTTTTTTTTTTTTTAAATAGGAAACATGTTTATTATTCATCATCTCAATTCAAAAACACTCATTCTTTCCCAAGGCTGGTCTATTGCTTTTGGTCTATCTAGAGATATTAAATACATTAAAATTATGAACATTTTTGTTTAATGGTAACTTAGAAACTTCTGTAGAGTAAGCAAGACAGGTATTCTAACGATGAAAACAAAAGCTCCAGAACTTGCTAGTAAAACAAAGAAAGCATTTCTGATGATGAGTGTAGAAGCCCAAGGATAAAACCTAACAGAGCACATGCCAGAAAATGAGATCAGGATCTTGTAAATCTCCCTTCCCTCTGAGTATACTCTGTGATAGTGCAAAACAAGTCCTGTGACAGAGGCTTAGAGATCTGGTTGTTTCTGTCCAGAGAAGGTGTCCTTGGGCTGTGGAACTCAAGGTAACTAAGTGCCCCAAAGTCAATTGGCTTTCGTCTTCTTTCTTTCACACACAGTCGTAACCAGAGGTTTTAAGGAGAAGGTAGATGTCGGAGGTATTTAGCTTTGACTTTTAAGCAGATGTAACAGCAGCTCTTTACCTTCTGCTAAGGACAGGCCTGTATTCAAAGGCTCTAGGCTTTCCCACTTGGCCTTCTTTCTATTACGACTTGCTGGTCCCACGTCTTCCACTTCGCTGTTACTTCTTTTCCTCGTTCCCTGCCTCTTCTAAGTAACACTTATTTTATTGTCCATATCTTCACTAGCTGATTCTTCAGAGCTTTTGTACTTTTGTAACTCTTTTCTAATGCTTTACGAGAACAATCGTCTCATATTTTGGGTTGTTGGGAAAGTCATGACACATTTTTGCATAGAAAAAAAGAAAAAAATACATCATGACTTCCCTGATGACCTGGTATTACCTCTGATTCTTTCTGACCTTAAAAAT